TAAATATAAATATATATTTATATATATATATATATATATATATATATATCAATTTATATATATAAAGCATAATATATATATGTGTATATATATATATATATATATATATATATATATATATATATATATATATTCGTATATATATATGTGTGTGTGTGTGTGTGTGTGTGTGTAAGTGTGTGTGTGCGTGTGTGTGTATGTGTTTGTCTCCGTATCTGAGGCTGTGTCACTGTATGTGTGTCTATGTTTAGATATATATGCATAATATATACAGTTGTTTTTGTGTGCGTGTGTGTGTTTGTGTGCGTTTTTATGCATGTTTTTATACCTTTATCTAGATATCTATCTTTATCATCATGTTTATGCCTGCAAATGTTTATGTATCTCTCTATTTTGAGCTATAAATTGAATCGATTGAAAAGAAACTTCATGATAAGAAACTGCATTTGTTGCTACACGCAAACATTTGTTATTGTGTGGAGAACATTTGTAAGTCCGTGTGTGCCCTTATCGGTTCATATGCGTAGCTTCATGCCACTACAAGCAGTGGACTATTTGTGGACGAGCACGTGCAAACTGATATAGGTCTCGTCCTCTGATTTTATTCATGGTTAGGTTGAGAATGTGCGTGTGGCAGCACTGAATAAGAAAAACTGGCAGTTACTAAAAGATAATAAGGAACGTGCTGAAGAGGTCACATTACGCATATTGTCTCAGGTACGTATAGTTGTTTCTCTTGTCGCTCAATTTCGCTTCATGTTTTTTAAAGAATATGCTGATGTATAAAGTCTTGAATGAAACGGTCGAGAATATTCTGTCGTGAACCTGTCTCAACATTCATTGTCATCTCGGTGGTTTGAGGTGAGTGCTTTCAACGTGTGATGGAAGTTTTACAAGCTCCTTTCAATAGTAACACCTAACTTTGCATTTTTCATAGCCTTGTACCATTCCTGCGTGTCCAAGGCTCACACCCGACCACCACCGGGTCAATTTTTAAATATGTTTACATCTTCTTGTAGCTGGGTCATCAACGATCGAGATCGCAAGTCGCATCAACGAGTGATAGTGATGTGCAAGAACCCGGAATAGTTACGTCAACAAAAATCGTACTGAGAAAACTGCTTGCCAAGCTGATGAGAAATTGTTCCGCCGATACTGAGAACCTAGAACAGACACGTGTACGATCACGAGCTCGTTTAAGAAAAGGTGTGTCATGTTGACGAACTTTCGCTTGTTTTTATTGTCCTCGTCCCACCTCAACAATTGACTATTAAATTACAATGTTGATTTTAGCATCATATCCCTTTTTATTTCATTACTCAGCTTCGTATTCTTCAAGTGTGTTTTAGTCGGAGTTCCGAACAGAGTGTAGATTCTTATGTTTTATACTCCTTGAACTTGCACATACCCAGTTTTTCGTATATATCAGGACCCCCAGAAGATACCCTGGACCATATCCATAGTTAATATAAATCTTACTGATGATGCACGACGCTGGTTTGTGCAACGCAATAGTGACACGGTTCTCTGGTCTACCACGTCAGCTCTAATGTACATCGCACAACTCTTAGCAGTCCTCGCTAACTATCATGGACTAATCCTGCCTATTAATGTGAATGTGTTGGATTTCTCTGATATAAGGTATGAAGGTGCACATCACAGTGTGTACTCGTTTATAGGCATGCCTGCATTGTGTTCTTGCAGTAGATTTACTTTCTCAGCCAATATATATATAGAGTAGAGTCACATCACTTGGAGAAATCTATTATAACTCGCTGCAAATTGAAGCGCCAAAGAATGACATAACGGATCTTTTAAACTTGTCTCCGCGTTATGTATATTCTTGAGAACTCTCATAACAAATACAACATCGTTTACGCGTACAGGAAAGCAGAGTCGAATTATAACAAGCTGAATTTCAACGTGAAATGTGCTTGCCACGCGCTCGGAGTAGTACTTTACCAGAGACAAGAGCATTGTATTCTATTGAACCTGACGAGAGTTCTAGTGTTAGACCGCATTAGCTTCAACTCTGAGCCTGTACGGAGCGGCAGTATATCATATGATGACAATGTAGCGGCGGGTGCGTCAATTTTGTCCGTTGCGTATTCGTGGCCTCATATTCGCGATTTTAACGCAAGTTGTTATTCGACTCTGATTTTTTATTATTTTTTGCATGGCTAACCGTTCAGCATGTATTTAGTCGTATTCGAGCTGTCTGCGATTTTATATATATATAAAAGCAATTCTTACCTATAGTAGTGTACATCGAAGAAAATGTTCTTGCGCTGGCAAACAACCTCTCAATTATAATGACCATGCTTTGATGTATAAAACGTCAACCAATGCTCCATCGTGGAAGGGCAAGATTATAGACAAAGTGACTCATATCTACTCACACTTTGCTGCTTATAGTTGACGATGGTATGCGATCCGGAATGCTCGACGAACTCTATTTGAAGGCTTTCTCGCCCGAATCTCTTCGTATTATGGAGAAGAGTAGTACACAGCTTAACAAATACACTGGTGATGACTGGGAGACGATCGAGGCCTTGACCGATCCCGAGTTTGAAGACCTCGGTGTATCTAGGCCAGAGCGTGACCATTTTTAAATTTATCGCAAGATTCTTCGCTTTTGTAGAGGTAATCATCTTTGACCATAAATGTTGCAATGCTTTGCAATTCACTTATTGAACGAGACTTTTATTGAGAGAATATTGACTGTACTGTTTTGCCTTAGACGCATTATTTTTCAGTAGTGGTGGACGGTGGTGATCTCTCGAAATGGCCCCTTGAGACGAGGGGACCTTCACTGTCTACGCTCCTATCCGAACTTCTATTGACCTCAGCTAACCAGGGTACCCCGTAATACTACTAATAATAATATCAGATACGGTATATGTGCTATTAGAGTCAGTCAAGGAAATCACTGGTTGATCTCGACTTACTTTTTATTCTTTGAAAATTCTTTAAAAGTGGGGTTTGTACTTTATCTAAATTCACCTTCATACCCAACGATCTCAACTTTGCCGTTGGGCGTTTCAAATTCTCATTATAATTTTGTTGTGTTGTTGAGTGCCTTACATACAGTAGTAAGCCAGACCAGCTACGACACCCACGCCGCCGATAGCAGGCAGGTTGTTTACAGCAGTCACAAGTGCTTCAGGCATATGTCTGTGCGCAGCTCCCAGAATTGTCATGTCCATACTCGTCTGAGGGGCGAATCGAGAGGGCAAGTCATTCAAGTTCGTGTTCACGAGTACAGATTTCATGTGACTGAACTCTTCGAATCCCTTTTCTCCGTGATACTTGCCACAGCCTGAATTGCCCACGCCTCCGAATGGCAAATCGTGGTTCATCATGAAAGTGATACTGTCGTTGAATTGAAGCGTTCCGGCGGATACCTTCATGAATTTCTCCTACAGGTATAAAAAGCAAAGGCAAATAGAAGTCAGCCTCTCGGAAACCGATGTAAGAAGAGCGATTTTGACAACTAGTAAAAACATGTGCAAGCATAAATGCTTGAAGAAGTATTGTGCCGACAGTTTTCGAGATATACGTACAGACACATACCTGCACGTGCTCATCATTAGTGTAGGCGTACAGGGCTAGCGGCTTCTCACGAGTAAGGATAGATTCGATTGCCTCATCAGCATTGCTCACGCGCAGGACGGGCAGAATTGGGCCGAAAATCTCATCCGACATAGCAGCTGATTTATGGTAAGCAACTGAGTCCTCGCCGAAATCCATTATTGTTGGCTGGATGTAGCTGTGGAGAATTCAAGTATTGCAAACAGCACATTGAAACTCTCAGTCGGATTGATAGTGACATATGAACATGATTGCAGTCGTGCAATTTTATTAAATTCTGCATGCCATACAAATGTCAACGAATATGTCTGTTGCCACTATGATATAAAAAAGGATTCTGAAAACTTACAATTGAGATGCGTCGAAGTCACCGCCGTGCACAATGTACTTGCTGTCCTTCTGTAGAATATCAATCAAGCGATTATAGAAACTCTTCACCTTAGCAATGCGTCCGTATTCTGGGCTTTCTTTGGGGTTTTCTCCATACATAGCTACAACTTCTCTCTTCATGTGCTCGATGAACTCGTCTGCAACAGTACTGCAAAACGCATCAACAGAAGTTGTTATTTAGAACCACAACAAGTGAGGAATAAGTACATGTGTGAAGTTAACTATGCTATAATTCTTGTAATTGATAATTTAACCCTCGATCATGGTATGTACAGTGAAGGAACACTAACCGTATCGCACAAAACGGACCGTTCATCACGGATAAAATAACCTTAACTCGACCAATAAACATACTTATCCACGAATAAGTGATCAGGGCGAATGCACGTTTGACCAGCGTTGATACCAAGAGAGGCCCAAACGATTCGCTTCGCCGCAGTGTCTAATTTTGCATTTCTTCCTACGTAAACCGGAGACTTGCCACCCAGTTCCAATATAGCCTTTGTCAGGTGAGGAACGCAATGTTCTGCCACCAATCGACCCAAATCTAGAAAAGAATACGAGTAATTATAGTAAGTCTTTGACGACACGGCTACGAGGAAAATGCAACACCTTACGAGAAGACGTGTATTACGTGCACAATGTATCGGAGTTCGGAGTTCGCATCGAATACATTTTCCAACACTAGATAGCTTCAAAATAGAAAAGAGAACACTATCATAGGGCACGTGTCTACTTGCGAATGAGCGCCTACCTGCTCGATATGAAGTGGATACCCACGGAAGCTGTGATGAATACGGAACAAAGCCCACATACTATTCTCGCGCTTCAAACCGTGCATGGACACACAAAATGCTAAGATATTCAAATTGAATGCAAGCGTATGAACGCGTTAATCGTAGCAACGACATACTAGGTGAACCAGTAGCGAACACGATGTCCCAGCGTTCCTTCAAACAATCCTGCAAGACGTCGTATCCGCCATCAACGATGCCAATAGCTTCAGGGTCCATATATTTGGGAATGAGATCTACAAGGACCTTCATGCTCTCTTTGGCGTGATCCTCTGATCCTGTTTTGATCACCACTGAGTTACCAGCTGTAATTGCCGCTACCAAAGGATCCGCGATAAGCGTAATTGGATAATTCCAGCAGCCGACGATCAGAGCTGTTCCTAAGGGCTCCGGATAGATCATACTTTTGGCTGGGAAGTTCATCATATCGGTATGTACAACTCTGGGCTTCACCCACTTGTCGATTCTGATTGGTAAGCAGAAAGTGTATGTGATATGAGTTGTGAGAAGTAAATTCACTATAGACCTACGTCCGCAACTCTGATAGAAGTATACTTAGACGATGCATGACAAAATCGAAAGAGTTTGGAATGATATAAGATCGAGAAGTACTGCTGATAGACACCGAATTATTAAAAACTGAGAAATGTACGACAGATAGCTACATGCGTGAAATTCCATCAAACTTACTTGGCAAGTGATTGATCGATAGAATTGATTGGTGTTTGAGTCTCGACCAACCATCCTTCGCCATGGCACTTTCCTAGGTCTGCTTGAACGGCGTTTAGAATCCTGAGATAAATTGGGGATTAAACGACAGTGTGTTTTAGGTGCTGATCATAGACAAGCATACAGGCATTCCCGTAGCTTTGCGCAAGGTGCAATACAATCGTCAGCTGTAAATAGCACAATGACAAACGATGGAAAGATACTTACTAGCCATATGCAAAGCTTTTAAAGACGAGTTGTTTTACAATCATAGCTTAACCGGTGTGTGACAGTACTCTTATTGTCTTCTGAGCCACTGAGCTCTTAATAAGGCACGCTATAGTACAATGTGACGCTACCACTCACCACCAAGTGATTTGTTTTGATTCAAATCGTAACTTACGTTTTAAATAAGAGACTTCCCTAATATTGTCTGGTATATGATTTGTACAGTTTTGATTTAGTTGTAGGCGGCCTGACGCAGTTGACAAGCCAACTGATGGCGTCACAAAATGTAATTAAACGCACACTACAGCGAGCAATGCCATATCTAGCGTGGATACGACGCCTGTGAAAATTAACAAGAGAAAGCCTGGCCATACCTCGTCTCATTGTCGACCAGTAGAGATCGCAGCGCGGTAAGCTGGCTCTTCCTCCACTCTAAGGGCTGAGTCCTACCTGACTTGAAGGCGTTTGTCACCTTTTGGGCGAGGCTGCTTATTTTACTCATTATGCAAGACCTCTGTTGTAATGGATGTATGCTATCATTAGCATAAGTGTCGTTGTATTTATATGTTTTGGATTGCTGGCACACAGCGAAAGCAACACAACCAGGGTGAGTAAAAAAATATCGAGAAGGCGAGACCGGATAGTCGGATAGACCGGATATAAACAAATCCAATCACCACACTTTTCTTCTTCTGTCCCAAAATGGCAAGTCCGGCGTTTCCGCTTTTCGCACTTTATTTTTTAAAATTTGTTATTTTACCGAAATGCAGGACGAACTTTTTTACAATAACTTTAATAGTGATATTTGTTTTTTTTTACTAAATTTAAAAAAATAAGAAACAAAAAACAAAACAATAAAAACAAAATGCATATAAATATCAGTCTATCAGGCTCAAAATCACAACTAAAAGCTTGTGCTGAGAGTTAAGAATTAAAAACCCCCACCCCCCGACGAATAATTAAAATAAAATAATATATATATATATATATATATATATATATATGGCCTCTAAAACTATGCCCGAAATGGAAATATATACGCCCATTGCCGAATGTATCAAAAACATATACGTTTAGTGGTTATCAGTACAGTGAAAATCTAGCGTCATACCACACGGTCCCCCACTCCCCACTCACCAGACCCCAGCAAGGGCTGTCGACCTGCCGAGTGCAGACTGAGGAGTGAGGACTGGGGAAGAACTGATTTGACGATATCCTATTTTCATACAAAACGTTTATTTATATTTTATTTATATATAAATTGAAGACGGCTGTTGCAGTTGAGATCGGTATATATTTTTATAAAATATTTTTTTTAAATAGAAATATACAAGATAAATATGTTTGCAGAGTTCACAGACAGTCTAACTTGAATACACATTATTTTACACAAGAGATATGTTCACTATTCACAGTGTCAACTCACAGAGTCTGACAGACCTCGGGAGTCGTAAACCAAAACAAATTCCTCAATTTCTCAATGATTGACCAGATATTGCAAACGGAAAATCCGAAAGGACTGGAAAAGATCCTGCCAGCAGGGTTGTTAAAAACGGACAAGAAAAAGTCCTGTCCGGACAACCATTTGCATTACGAACACCCAGACAAAGGGCTTTATATGGAGTTATGGACCAAACAAACAGACAGGCATCAATCTTGAAATGGACAAATGGTTTGGGTCAATTTGTACCAGACGATTTTCAATTTACCAGTGGACAACAGGTCTTTTTCGAATTGGACACATGGCCAGTCTCAAAAACAGGTCATAATACCATGGACAGCCCTTTTTTTCCCGGACAGTTTAGTCCATTTGTCCGTTTAACAACCCTGCCTGCCAGTGTCCTAAGACCTAAAGACTCGAGTCACTATGCTCTCTAGTTTTAGTTTTTAGACTCCTGGACTCCTGGCCCTGGAACTAGAGAGACTGGTCTGTGGATTCGATACCCGAATCCAAATATGTAGTACAATTTATTTATTATAAATGTGGGGGGAAGCTGAGATTTAAGAACCCGTTTTTCAACCTTTTTTTGAGTTTTGTTGATATATATATACATATATATAATATTTTTTTAAATAAAAAATACACCGATTTGCATTTGTTTTTTATAAAAAATATTGTTTATGTGAGCTCCGCCGCTCCGCCTATTTAGTATTCAACATACCCATACATAGGCGCCATGGCCCACCATGATGGCCACCTCCTAAAATCGAACAAGCCATAAATAGTGTTTTTTAATTCCTTTTTTTTCTTAAAAAAGGATATTTACCACATCCTATTTTGGACTGGTGTGGAGGTCTGCATTTTGATTTTCTCTACATTTTTGCATAGCCTCCGTCGGGTCCGTCCCTCTATCACTCCGTTCTAAATATAAATATCATGATTTCATAGGGCTACACCATTTGAACAAAAAAAAATATTAAATAAAATAGGTGTGATTTTTGTTTTGTATTGTTATTTGTTTGGTTTTTTTTTGTTTGGTTTTTTTTGAGAGTCCAGTCTCCAGACTCCAGACTCCAGACTCCAGACTGGTCCCAGAGTCCAGACTCCAGAGTCCAGACTCCAGAGTCCAAGGACTCAGAGTCTACCGTAGTCTACACTCTACAGTCTACAGTCACTCTCTATAGACTACTCGCCAAAGAAAACTCCACAAGAGACTATATATTTTAGTATATAGAGAGTATTTACCTGTCCCAGTCCCCCTTGAGAGGGCCTACTACAAGTCTACTACTCTACTAGTCTACTACTAGCTAGCTAGCTAGCTAGCGAGAGAGAGAGCAAATTAGACACGAGACAGTCCTCAATTGAACATACTGATAAAGCCTGTCTAATACGACTCGAATGTGGACGGTTATAGTCAGACTAAGTATATTTGTCTTATGTTGGTTGTAGCTTCACTCTAGTAAAGTGAAGCTCACAACTGACGGTTACTTGTACTTATATAGGTTCGTCACATGAGAGTCTTCATCGTGTCGGTTTTAGACTTTCGTGTGTCACCTAAGATGAACAAGTGTCACACGAAAGTCGTAATCGATTTCCTGTTGGATGAAACAATTTGCCCGCGTAAACATCTCAAGAAACCGACAGCCGACGTTTTAGTCAACAAGGTTTTAGTTAGGAGGAAAAGGTATATACCTTGTGTTACAACCCCCCATACGGCCTGAAGGACAGGGACGTATTAAGACGCACATGGTATAGATGTAGAAGATAAGAAAGAAGCACAAGCTAAGCAGCCTGTGTAGCAAGGTGTTTGGTGTACCAATCAAGTAACTGAGAATGAAGATATTCAGGGTTATTAGCCAGTCGGTATGCATAAACACATCCAGAACGGATGGACATGAAATGGGCATCATTAAGATGTTGGCGGAGAAAAATATCATCCTCTGGACGAAACTCGAGATTAGAGCGAGTATATTTGTGTGCAGAAGCGAGGGCAAAAAAAAATACAAATACCCAAGTTGGACTTATATTGGAAAAGAATTGCCGAATTCTAATCTTTAAAAACGGCAAGAGCCAGACGTTCTTGATCAAAATCAGGGTCATCTTTGAACGGACTGTCGTAGAATAACCAATTGATATAAACAGAAGCAGCACGTGAACCACGGATAACTGGAGCGGGAAAACCAATCGGGGGTCGATAAGTCTTCAATTTGGAACAATGGAAGCGATAAAACTTGGAAGTAGACAAATCCTGTATGACATACATAATAGAGGGGTAACAGTTCCCGAACAACAATCGAGTAGCAGAAACCGGATTCGGTTTCAATTGATATAAAACATGACGACCAAGAGCAAACATAGGGACATTATAACGATGTCTATTCACTTGGCGAGCCTGAGACTCTTGGAATTTGCGAGTACGTTTCCAAACTTTGCGATCAAGATCCGTAGGTGGAGGAATCAACGTTATCCTGCGAGTATCAGGAGGTAGATTCTCATTGATAACCTTTTCAAGTTTACTAGATCCAGAATTATGAAACGGACGATTCGTCATCAAGGTATAAGGGGATAATTTGGTGACGGAATGAACTATGGAATTCATATTCCTCGCAAATTTCCAGCCATGAATATCCCACGTCTGGTCATAAAAAAAACCAAACAGTCTATGTGTCAATGATTCTCTCAACAGCCATTGTCAGTATGCATACTAGTAGATATAGGGTGGCGTATAATGCTTTCAGAATCCCACTATAATTTGAATACTTCAGATTTGGAGGGGCCATATTTATCAGCGACATAAACACCAGTTACGGCCCATTGTTCAGGCTTGTTTGAGTTGTTAAATGACATATTCAGCAGTTTTCTATCATGGCAAAAAGCTGCACCATGAACAAAGTTAGCATGTTCGTCGATGTAGAAGAGTTGATAGCGTTATCCTCGAGCCGCGAGCAGATTGGGTTAAGAGGCCCATTGTAGGGCCAATTTCAGCACCCTCAGATTGACGGCCCGGGTATGTGATAACGAAGCGGAGAAAAAACGTTTGATCAGAAGACCAGTCCAATACCTCAAGCAGGAGGCGACGCAAACGGCGAGGTCGAGAATTTCCACGATCACAATGCGTAGCCCAAATACATTTGAGGACGGTAGTAGGCGGAATCCGATGAGATTGGACAGTGTATGCGTTCTTCGACAGAATCTCCAAAACCTCGGATTCAGTAAGAAAAAAAGAAATACTATGTGACATATAGGACCGGACCAGAGGATTGGACCTGAGTAGAATATTACAGTACCGGGCTGAGGGACCGGACTGAATATTGGGACAGAGGATTTAATATGAAATAATGATGACTCAAACGGTGTCAACATAATTTAGTTACTCGGAAACGACGACCATAGAAATATCTCATACAGTGTCATCATAATTTAGTAACCAGGAGACGAAAACCATACATACGTGTAATGAGCCGGGCCTCCACATTAGATATTCCGAGATTATTGTATTCACCCCAATGAAACATACCATAGTTTCCAATAGAGCGACAACGTAACACTAAATAAAATCTCTTCGACGAAAACAGTACTGAGATGATTATATATAGGCAATATTTCAGCCTCACAATCCCCAGAGTATTGCTGTTTTTACGGGGCATACCTTACTTTACTAAAAGTCTCATTTCGTATATTTACTTTGAAATTTGCACGATACTTAGAATTTACCTACGCGTTTAACTATTCTAAGGCGTTAATATCGCCTTGATAGACCGAATCTTACACATTTAAAAGTTAGTAAAGGTATTAATTACAGACTACTTAAGCGTAAAGGTAGATTAACTACCACAAAATTTTTCTCGTCCAAGCTAGTCCTTAAGAGACAAGCTAGCAGTCATAAGTTAAAATTATGACCAAGAAAGACAATACTCCTTCTAAGAAGCGTAGTACTGAAAGGAATAAGATGAAGAGAGAAGCCGCTAGCGCTGTCGCAGAAGCAACCGCTGCTGCTGTTGATGCGTTGGGACACGTCTCAAGACGCCCCAACCCATTCTTCTGACGAAACTCAGAAAGAGAAGTTTCTAATTATAAGGTA